AAAAAAAAAAAAAACAAATAAATAACTAACAAAAAATAATCAAATCAAAAACACTCTAATTGTTACTTACGTCAACTGTTCGCTACCTAATGCGAAAAATTGAAAGAATAGCCGCTGTTCGTCCTGGCAAACATGCACTAGGAATGCGCAAGCGCTACGGGTTAACGCGCAATGGTCGCTTTTATGTGCGGCTTTCAATTCCAATATGGCCTTATTTACAGCGGGTGACATAATGAGGGCCCGCTCGTTTAGATAGTTTTGATGCATTTCACCCAGTAACTGCTCATATTCGGCGCTGCGTTCTAAACGAGACTCAACTAACTGCGCTACACGTTTAATCTTGACGGCAGCTGTTTGGTATTTGCCATAATATAAAGCGAATGCGGCATCCGGCGAACTGTTTATTATAGTTGCAGTATTTTTCTTGTCAGTGTCCGAAATGTTTGTAGTTGCGCTTTGCAGGCTAGTTAAGTGCGCTTGTTTTGGATGTAGCGTGGCAGCGGTAGCTTGCGACATAATAACGGACGTGTAACTTTTTATTAAAGTCACCGCTTTGGCCAAACAGTGTTTGTATTTAACGGTATAAGAACCAGCATCTTTGAACTTAGGCTAAAAATAAATACAAATATTGTTACTCTGTATTAAAAAACGATTATGTTTTTGTACTTTACATTTGCTCTCATATATTCAAGGCACTCGTCGATACGATCCAAACAATCACGAAATGCCTCGCTTGCCACCGACAATGTGGGACTCTGCAATCGCTGATGCAACAGTTCTACTTGACTAAAATAGTGTAATCGTCGTTGTATTTCTTCTCCAAGCTTATGTAAACGGTGCTGTTCCTCCGTCAATTGCTCGCTGGCTGTATTTAAAGCACTTGTTTTTTGTGACACCGTCTCATATTCATTTTTTAAGGTGTTCAACTGCTGCATTGCAGAGTTGATCTGCTCTAAAATTTCTCCACATTCTGCATCCCGCTGTTCCAATTGTTGTAAGTATTGATAATACTGCGCATCTGCATGCCTAGTAATTTCCTCGTTGACACGATCGTACCATAGGAGAAAGTCTCTGGTGTTATTAATACCAGGAGCTGGCAAAGCCTGCAATTCTTGGGCGCTGGCACTCAGTGTACTCTTATTATTTTTTATGTCATCTTTGATTATGGTATCTGCAGCGCTTGTAATGGATGTAGACTCCGACGGCATCTAAAAAAGGCTCATCATCATACAGTTGCTATTTGTAAGGGTGGGGTGGTAATTACCTCTTTGAAGTTTCGACACTGATTAGTTATTATATCTAAACATTCCAACTGTAAGGTATTTAAAGGAGCAAGTGCGTCACTACTTGACTCCCATTGGAGCAATCTCGTCCGTACTTTTCGTAAATTTTCATTTTCACTCTGGACCACGGCAACGTCATCCATTTCATCCGAATCAGAATAGCTGGCAAATAATTGCTTGTATTTTTCTTGTTATCTTTTCTGTTTGTTTCGCGCACCTGAACTAATGTCAAAAGTATAGAGAAACAAAGTGTCAATCGATATTTTTACATCGACTTAATAATTTTTGTGGCTTTGTTTTTATGGAATAAAATAGAAAATAAAATATTTGTTGTTTGTTAGTAATTTAGAAACGGCAGTTGGAGTGTAGACTCCACATATTAAAATAATAAATGTAAATCAATATTACTCTAATAGTATTTAAATAATTTTTATATAGTAATAAAACAAGGGTACAATTTGTATAGAAGTTGCAACATTGTCGAGATCATTTGTTTACGTTGTGTAGTACTAGCTGCCACTTGGAAATTACTATACTCAATTAACAATTCATTTAATAATTTTTGGCCTCTGAGAATTTGAATGGCTCCCCAACCGGTCGTAACTGGTCTTTCACCCAAAGAGGGTCCCCCCGGAACTCGTGTTATAATACGTGGAGAGTTCTTGGGCACTAGAGCTACTGATCTCATAGGTAAGCTATATCGTGCTACGTGTATTATTCATTTTTGTTAACGCCCTATTTCTAAGGTCTGAAAATTTGCGGATTTGATTGCTTGCTATCGGCTGAATGGAAATCGGCAAATAAAATAATTGCCCGCACAGGCCCCGCAAAGGGCAAAGGCGACATTATTGTCACAACAATTAGTGGTGGTGAAGGCACATCCACAGTGCAATTCCGTGCTTATCACGAAACAATAGGCCCTTTGAAAGAGTCGGCAGTATGGATAGAAGAATCACCATCGCAAAATTTTGCTTGGGGTCGTCGCACTCTGGCACAATCGGTATTGACGCAAGAAGATCCGCTGGGTTTATCCATTGAAGGTAATGAACAAAAAATACCAGAAGACTTGCGTGACTTATTTCCCGAAGCAAGTGGTGACTTATCGCAAGAGAACTTTTCACCATCGTGGTTTTTGCTCGAAAACCACTTGGCTACATCTTTTGAGGACTTGAAAGCTGGTCTAGCATATTTAAAGCGAAAAGTGGAAAGTCAAAAAGAGGGTCAGTTATCATTTTTAAAATCAAATGCGGGCTCTGTGATTGATCAATTAGATACTCTGATGAATATAAAAGACAAGTTGCAAGAGGACACACGAATTTTCGGTACAGAGCCGCTAAATGTGCTGGAGAACTCAATCGAGAGTAAGTATTGACCTTTCACATATTTTTTTATTTGTAATGTAACATAATAATACTTCTAATTGGAATTCGATAGATTCCATATCTGAATCAAAAAATATCTTCACGGAAGTACTATTGCGCAAGGAAAAAGCAGATTCCACCCGCGCAGTTCTCTTTGCACTATCGCGTCATAAATTTTTATTTTGCTTACCGAATTCGGTTGAACGACGTGCGGAGGCGGGCGAATATGATATTGTTGTGAATGATTATGCTCGCGCCAAGAATTTATTTGGAAAAACCGAAATACCAGTAAGCTGTGATATCTATTTTAATTTTATACCGTTTACCATATTTATTATGTCGCCATTTTCAGATGTTTCGACGTGTACTTGAGGAGGTGGATCAGCGCATTCTACAGATACGAAAGCAGTTGCATGAAAAAGTAGTCAAGATGCCACAAAGTGTGGAACAGCAAAAGAAACTAATAAAGGCTTTAACCAGTCTTGAAGTAAGCACGGAATATTTATGTCATTTGGTAAATTATTTAAATATAATCAACTTCAGGTACAACAAAACGGCACGAGCATTGGTGATCGCATACGTAATGTTGATCCCGCTTGGGATGCCATTGAAGCACGTGCAAAGTATTTGGAATACACATTTAAGCAAACTTTTGAACAGTATGCTTCTAAGGACGCCGGTGGGCAAGAAAGTGAGCTATTTTATTGCCCGTTAAATGCCCCTATGTAATATGTTCATTACTTTAGAATCTAAAAACCGCGATAATTCCAATCAGCCACATAACCGTGTGTTGTTCTGTGAAGAAATTTGTGATATCGCCGCATCGCAATTACCCGATTTATGGCGCTTAGGGCAGTTATATTTCACTGGAGAGCTACGTGGTGCACACGATCCTAAGCCAGGTGATTTTAAGGTATACTATAAGTCATTATAAATAGCATACGTTTGAATTTATATATTGTTTTCTTTAGCGTATGATTTTAAATGCTATTGAAAAATTCTGCGCCTACTTGCGTGTCGCCGTGTTAATTGCTTCAGATTTGCGTGCGCTGCGTCAAACAATAGGTTTGGCTTGGCCCATCGGTTCATCATCGGCCACACATCAGTTTCTACCATGGATATCGCAGTGCTTGCGTTATACGCGCATCACATACGCCACTCTTATACGTTTAGATCTGCCATCTGAAGCGCTGGACATCATACAGAAATTGATCGATGAAATACGTATTTTCTGCTTTTCAATAACATTTAAACGGGCTAGTGACCGCTGTAAGAAGTTGGGTGAAGAAGAAACTTGGGAAATGGACGTAGAGGACTTTCCGGGCGCTACAATGTTGCCAAATTGTTTGGAAAAATTGTTGTTGGAGACGCTGGATGAGGCGCAAAATGCTTGCATGAATCCGGAAATAAGGTAAGTTAAAATTTTTTTATTTTTTTTAATTAAATTAATTTTAATTAAACATTTTTTATATCTTTGTATATATTTTTAATTTTTTCTATTGATATTATTTTATTATTTTTTTATTATATTTTTCTTAATTATTTTTTCTATATGTTTTTATTTTATTTATTTATTTTTTACTTTGTTATATTTTTATTTTATTTAATTTTTTATATTATTATTGTATTTTTTATTATTATTTTATTTAAATATTTTTTAATTTTTTTATTTTTGATATTACATTTATTTTTCGTTTTTTTCAGGGAAGGTAACTTATTGGAACCGCAGTCGGATGGTCAGCGGGAAGTGTCACAACGTTTGCAAGAATTCTTATCCACCTTCTGTGGTGTTATTGAAGAGTTGGCCTACCAGTCACACGACGAAGAGACACCCACTCACAACGTGTCTCAACTCATTGGTTATCCAAATGTACAACAGAGCGCACTAATGTCTGGACGTTTTTGGAATTCCAGTACTATAACCTGGGAGCAGCGTATGCTTTGTTGTCTCGCCAATTGTGCATATTGCAACAAGAGTTTCTTTCCACACGTTGGCGACATATTTGTCAAGTACCAAACACATTAAAAATAAATAAAAAGCAACATTTCAAATAATTTCATTATACATTTTTAGATATGGTTACCCCTTGCCGACACTGGCAATTGAAACGTCGCGTTATTCCGTTAATCAGTTGTTTACAAATCTCTTGGATGCATATGTGGAACACAAAGTGGACCCATTGGTCGGCACAATAGAGCCATCAATGTATTTGGGGCGATTCCAATGGGATAACGAAATGGAAATCGGCAAGTTGCGTCCATACGCGCACGAATGCTGTGACAACTTGGTAGGTGTTTATTCCGAAATATACACAATATCGCCGGCCTTGTTGCGTCCCATACTTGAACCGATTGTGCTTACCGTTTCGGAGGAGTTGGCGCGCTTAATGAGTTGCGTGCAAGAATTTAGCTACACTGGCGCTATTCAAGCTAATGTGGACATACGCTTGATAAGGGACGCCTTGAAGTTTTATACAAACGAAACGGCAAAGTAAGTTTTTTTTTTTCACTACTGTTTCATAACGTTTTGGGTTCTTGCTTAATTTTGTTGTTTTAATTTTTTAGAAATTATTTCCTCGAAGCCTTGGAGGCTATAAAACCACCACTTAATACGGAGCAATTGCGTAAGAGCGACGAAATATTGGAACGTGTTAAGACTTGCATGAAACTGCAATTGATGTGCTTTTCCGTCAAGGATCCATAAATTTCGTAGTGACTACGAAATTACTATAATATTTAATTTTAAGGTATTTACTTATATTGATATTAATTACCTTTAAGGTTATACAAATATTTATTCCAATTCCAACGAATGTCTTAAATGCATAAACGTAATATACCACATATATAGCATTCAGAAAAATTTTCTTACAACTTTATGGAATTATCAAGATATAACAGCCATACAAACCGAACGATCAAAATCTAGTCCTGGTATGAAAAACTTGTTTATTTGGCCAGACATTTTCACGAAATTTGACATGGATTATTGTCCAATGCAACGGTACAATCTCCGAAGAAATTGTTTAGATCGGACCATTATAGCATGCAGCTGCCGTGCTAACTAAACAATTGAAATCTAATCCTTCTATGGAAAACTTTTTAATTTGACGAGTTATCTTCACAAAATTTAGCATTAATTATTCTCCAATACAACGGAAAATTTCCGTGAAAATTGTTCAGATGGGACCACTATAGCCATACAGCCTGAACGATAAAAATCCAGACTAATCCATTGATGAGATCGGACTTTATTAGCATATGTATGTGTAGCTGCCATACAAACTGTCCGATCAAAATCAATTAATATTCTTTTAAACTCAGCTTTTTATTATTACCATGAAATAGATGGTTACACTTAAGCAAAATTTATTTTTCAAATAGATTGTTATATATTTACATATAAATTTATTAAAAAACTCGAAGATTCTGGGTTGACAGGATATCAACTTTTACAGCTTAAAGTCAAATGAGAAGTCATCACCCATAGTTTGGAACTTTTCAAAGTTTTCCTTGATCGCCTTCTCTACATCAATCGAATCGAATTTCTCCTGTATACGCATTTTCACAGGATTCTCTAAAATATCCATAATTTGATAGCGTAATAAGTTGGGTAAAATATTGACGGCAGCCTCCGCAATATAATCCAAAGTACCAGCACCATCACTTCGTATTTGTATATTACCCAAATCGATTTGCAAATCATTGATTTGTGGTCGCTTACGCGTATCTAGAGATTGACTCAACTCGACTGTCACACGAATATATTGAACAGAAAATTTGAATACGCCTGTACGAGATCCAAGAGTAAAATCAATTTCCCAATGACTTTCGCCGGCAATCTCCTGTGTGCCCACATGGAAATGTAATTTAATTGTATTATTCTGCATGGCAACTGACATGTCGCCCACGCGATAGAAACTCGATACACCCCAAATCCAAGAGTTCACCAGCTGAAAGGTGAATATGCCAGCCGTACGATTATAGTCGGGCAAATGATATGGATCGTAACCCATATCGCGCACCTTCTTTCTACCTTCGGCTATGGCCATATCTAGTGGTGATATCGAATTGGGTAAAAGTCGGTCACCTACGAATTTTTCCAGATTTCCATTTATCTCTTCGCGCAATTTCATATCGGCTTCCGCTAGCATGAACGGTTTCATGGCATCGAAGACGAGTGTGGGCGCAGAGTTGACAACGCTTTGAAATAAATTGCCGACTAAACCTAAATTCTGAAAATCCATAGACATATCACCAAAAGTAATATCCATTTTTATGCGTTCCGTAGTTAAATGTCCATCCCTTTGGACAGCTAGTGCTGCATTCGCCTTCACGTAAACATTTTTAAGCACAACTGTGAACGGGCCGTTAGCTCGGGTAAACAGTGAACTCAGCGTGTACTTGCCACGAACGTCCATTTTGTCCAATTGTATACCGGCTTCGACCTGAAATTAAAGAAAATTTGCAGGTGCCAATATTGAAGCGAAAAAAAGTATCGAGATATCTTAATTTTTAATTATTGTCTTCAGCAACGGTACAATCTCCGAATAAATTATTTAGATCGGAACACTATAGCATATAGTTGTCATACAAACTGATCGATAGAAATGAAGTACTTGTATAGAAATCTTTTTTATTTGACGAGATACGAAATTTGGCATAGCTTATTGCTCAAGAAAACGGTAGAATTTCCGAAGAAATTTCTTAGATCGGACCACTATAACGTATAGCTGACAGAGAAAAATCCAGTTTTTATATGGAAAACTTTTTTATTTGACGAGATATCTGCAGGAAATTTGACATGGATTATTTCTTAAAGTAACGGTACAATCTCCGAAGAAATTATTGAAATCGGGCCATACAAACTGATCGATAGAAATCAAGTCCTAGTATGGAAACCATTATTTGACGAGATATCTTCACGAAATTTGACATGGATTATTGTTCATATCAAGGGAATTTAGACCATTTAGACTGACCGATCAAAATCAAGATCATTTTTGTTTATGAAGGGTTTTCTAGCTCCGATGCAACTGAAGTTAACATTTTTCTTTTTTTAAATTCTTGTTTGAACGCGTCATATTATGAACCTAGCTCTGAGCACTGAATCATTGCTCTCGCTACACACATTTGAAACTGCTGTTATCAACAACAAACACACTTAAGTCTACATATTATCTTCTTTCCTACTAATCAGCGATTTCGTATGCGTTTCGATCTTAATGGCGGCGAACGTTTCAGAGCTAAATTAAATTATATTTTGTTTTGAATTTATAAATATGTATGTATAATTCATGTAAATTCCAAAGCTTTCTTAATTAAAATATATTCTTACCTTCATAGCTTTCAGATCCGCTTGCACCGTGTCAATACGAAATTTCGACAAACCATAAGCTTTCACCTGCATCATACTCAACGTGCCCATACCGAGACCTTTGCGCATGTCCGGCACCTCCATGGGATCTGGTATTGGCGCACCTGGAAATCCAACGGGATCTTCTTGCTTGAAATGCTCTAGGACGGCGAAAAGCTGTGCCGCCAAACGATTCTCTGTCACGCGTACATTATGGTCATCCTTTGCGTCACCAGACAAGTCAATATCTGTGTTGAACGACTCCTCCTCTATGCCTTGTGGAACTATACAACAGCGTTTTTAATCAGATATACTATATATGTATGTATGGGTGGCTACATGAATGAGTAGTGCTTATTTACCAACATCCTCATCGCCTATAAGCGCCTCACTGAGATCCAACCAAAATAGTAAGGCCAAAGATAACGCGAGCCATGTGTGCTTCATAAGCATTTTAGTTATGAATTGAATACAACAACAAGTTATCAGTAAAATTTAACAGCATCCACGAAAATAAGAATATTCACTTATTCACACGAGTCTTTGAATTCTGATAATATGGATTACACACTAACGACAACGGCGTTTAGGTGCCGAGTTGTTCGCGCCACGACGTTCCGTGCACAAATGGCGTCATGAATCGATAGTAGCCTGAGGGAGGAATCGCTTTGAGATGCACTTGTGTGGTAGTGTAGAAAGTGAGCGACAACGAAGCGGCTTTGAACTCAGCTCTGAGATTAAAATTAAGAACTTTGATTAACAAGTGATGTTACACTTTAAGATAGCAGTGTGCAAAATGTGATTATTATAAATAAATTCATAATTCGAGCTGTTTTAAGTAGCAAAATAACGTTACCGTCGGACAAAACTTAACGATGTTAGGGGCAGTCAGTATTTTCAAAAACTCGTTTTTTAGCATTTTCTTAAAATATATTTTTAAAATATTATTGAAATATTGATGTAAAACCGACAATTAAAGGTTCTTGGACGTTTTGAAATGTTCGAGATCAGTATTTATTTTAGATGCATATCCTAGAATTACTGATGGCCCAAGAAGCTGGGGTTGGAACTAGGTAAAGACGCAGTACTTTTGAAATTTTTATTTTTTTTTTTTTCAAATTTCCTTCAAGTCGAAACCTTACTAATGATGCTATGTTTTTACTTTTACAATAACAATGATCGACACGATTTTTGGTACCTCTACTCAATATTAAATTTCAGTTTCTTCTGCACCAGAAATAAGAGAAAACAATATTTTGTATTAAAGTTTGTTGGAATTTTTTTCGTATTCTTTTTATGTTTATATGGGCAAGTGAGCCATTCGTATCAGGCAAAAGCAAACTTCAAGTGCTAAAAATAAAATTTCCAGTATTTTTCGATGTCTAAAATCAGAATTTGAGCATGAGAGTAAAAATAATTTTTGACCGGTGTAATTTACACCAAAAAAAATTTCGTTTCGACGACAGTCGGGGCTCCGTAAATGGAACGGAGCCTGGATTTTTTATCCGGTCGAAGGCTGTCAATTCGGCAGAATTCTGCCGTTTCAACAACAACAACTGACAAAAAATATATATTTTTTTCATTTTAATTTTTTCATGTCTATGAAACCTGATAATGGTCATAGCATTTGAATAATATAAATTCGCTTTTGTTTAATAATTTATTACATTTATTACCCAATTCGATTTAGATTCATTTTAAAACTTAATTACTCCAATTTAAAAGTATACAATAAATTTTAACATACAAACATACTATTACATACTAGTTAATATGTATATTGTATGCATTTATTCCTACATATATAAATATCTTCTTTTTTAATGTGTATATATATATATATGTGTGTGTGTGTGCTTTGTGTTTAATGCTGTGATAGATTTGGTTAAATACACCTTTAACTTAATTTTAACATTTCAAAAATGCTTCGAGTTTCTTTCAAATTTAAAATTACCGCTGCCTACTACAAATGTATTAAAAATGCTCCACAATTAAAGCAATAAAGTTTGCTTAAAACATTCAAATAATTTTAACATTAATTATGATTCCTATAATTTTTTTTTACCGCTACACTTACAACTATGCTAATATATGTATAACCAAAAACTTCAAATTATTTTACAATTTGTTCGAAACCATTTAGAACTAATTCAATATAAAACTTTATAGATACCTATATACATGTATATATATATAGATATATGTATATAATACAATAACATTATCATCATCTTATATAAAATATATTGCAACTAGCCTATCTGCTTATGTTTTGTTTGCAAGCATAAAGCAATGCCTAAAATTAGGCAAAAATACAGACACGTAGCTGGTGTTGGAAGCAGTCCAAAACGATTTAGGAGCTCACATTATAATAAGTATAATGTTTTTGAAAAATAAAAATAAATATATTAAAAATGAAAAACTAATTCTAGCAGTGCTTTAAACTGAGATTTGGCAATTTCTGTATAAGTTTTTAAACTAATTTTGCGTGCGTGAAACCTAGACTGCATAAATATAATATATCAAAGAGTATTTTTGTTGTTGGCAAAAAAAAAATTAAGCTATTTGTTGACCCGATTCCCAACTTTTCTGAACTATAACTAACAATACATGTACAAATTAAAAAATTTGCCTAGATTCAGACTTCAAATATGAAATATTAGTGTAAGATTAAAATAATAATAATAAATAAATATATGCAACAACAACAACTGCATGTTATAATTATAGTTTTTCGCTTACAGCTTTGGCCTACTTGCGCATACTACAATTATTGGTGGTGTGCGTGATCAAGTTCTACGAAACCAATTCTCTGCGCATTAAATGTGCTAATATTTTTTTTTATGTTTAAATAATTCTTTTTTATACTCATGCGAGTTGAAAAAGACACTTTTGCATTTCACTGGAAATGGGGAAGCTAATTGAAAAAATGTTTTGTACTAAATATACATTTTAGCCGTATTGATAAAGTAGCGTTCACCAATATAACTTAAAGAGTTGATTTTGATTTATTTACGCATAATAAATAATTGCACTAAAGAAGCCGCCTTTGAGACAAAACGGCGCACGAAAATCTTATAAAAATGTTTCGTAATACGTTGGCAAAATAAAATTTCATTTATGAAAGTTTAATAGCTTCCAGTTTTTGATTTGCCTGAGCTTTTAATATTTTTTAAATATATAAGTAAGTTTCCAGTATTTTTCTACTTTTTGGTCAGTTCAGACAAGATTAAGCAATTTAAGCTTTCATACACTTGAAGTTACCTGTTTCACTCAATAATAGCTTTTTTCAGGGCGCTCACCAAGTTAGTTGCCTACTTTCTTATTATTGACAAACATATCATTTACATATCACTCGCTTCAATTACTTCTACTAAAGCGGGTGTTATGTGTGATCCCGCACCGGTGATATTCATATTCATGCCCAGGCTCATGCGACTAGCGCTGCCACTGCCACTACCCGTACTGCCACTACTCAGTGACGGCACAGACGTTATGCGGGTACTTGTTGATGCATTCGACAAACCACTGTGACTATAAATTGTGGATAACATATTTGTATTATTACTACCGCTATTCACCATGGTCGTTGACGTGATGGCGCCTGTGGTGAAGTTCAAATATTCTGATTCCATAGAATCAGAAAACATTTCCGCTTTGAAGGTGTTAGGTGAGGAAGAGACAATAATTGGTGACAGCGTTATTGTTGTAGCAGAGGATGATAGTATTGGGGTTAGTGTTTGTGTATGGTGCATATTGTTGTTGCTGATCGTTGCTGGGCGAATTGTAACAATATTTTGTTTTACTTGTTGATTTTGTGTATGTGTGTTATTATGCAATTGTGGCTGCTGCTGTTGTTGTTGATGATGATGTTGTAGTTGCAGCGGCAACGAAGTGGCTGCTACACATTTGCCACTTGTCACAGATGCTGGCATATTATTAGCGGATGTGGTGATTAAATGCGACGAAACAAGCCGTTGTCCGTGTATTTGTTGCTGAGGGTGCTTCTGTTGTTGCTGTTGTTGCACGCGGTGCTGCTGTAAGTGTGGCTGTTGTTGCAGCAGCACACTTTGCTGTGAGCTTTTAGTCGTTGCCGTAGACGGCGATGTTGTTGAATTGCTGGTACTTGTGTTGGTTAGAATATTTACTGTTGTCAAGTTGCTCAATAAAGTGTTACTGTGGTTATTACTGCCGTTGGCGGATGAAGTTACCTGCAGTTGGGGTATACTATGAATGCGCTGGATGTTGGAATTGCTGTGTTGGTGGTGTGCTTGTCCCGTAGTTACGACATTTACAACTAATAGTAATAGGAAAAAGAAGAAATGACATAAAAATTAAATTTGAAATTGAATTGTCCAAACTGCTGGGTTAGACTTACCCTGGTATTTGCCCTCAGCGTTTTGTATGAGAACAGACTCCATAGGCAACATATTCGTTTGGTGTTGGTTACTACTGATGGTGGTGACCGTTTGCGTTTGTTGTTGTTGTTGTTGTTGTTGTTGCTGCTGCTGCGATGAAATAGGATGCAAACTAATGAATGGTATTAGCGTTGCTCCTTTGGAAGACGGTGATGAGGAGTTCGACGTCAAATGCAGTTGTGAGGTTACCGTTGCTATTGACGGTGATGGTGATGATAATGCGCTTGATGAAGTGCTTTGCTGCTCAGACACAATTGTTATAGCCTGTTGATGCGTTGGGTGTTGTTGCGGTGATGTTGTTGTTGCCGTCGAAGTGTTGCGCGGACGTGTGGTCAACGTTGTGCCTACTTGCAACTCACTTGGGCTCAACCTTGGGGTTTCATCTGCCACTTGAATTTCATAGCATGCTAGTTCTGGTATTACAGGACGCACTTTACCACCATCCGGTCGATGAGGATTTCGGCAGCCACGACATTTGCAACCAATGCACGACTTGGAATCCACATAGCAGGGACAACGCTGACCGCAACAAGTCAGTTTACCAGGCGTTGGGGTAGCATTGCCACATCTACATCCTCTTCGCTTCGCGTTCAATTTGTTCGCCTGAGATTGTTGCTGTGTTGTAACCACTGAGTTGCTAATTGCCGTTGGTGTTGAT